TTTGTCCATGAGCTTTCTTAAGCCGCAAGTGATTATCAGACACTTTGAATTTGTCAACATCAGTGAGATCAAAATCAGAACCAATATTTGCAAGATCTAATTCAGCTGGAAGTACTCTTCGATGAACACCGTCTTCATCTTCGTTGCTATCACCAAAATCTAGTTCTAAATGAAGTTCTGAACCAGCTTCATCAAGACGGCTATTAAATTCTTTTAAAGTTTTACTTGGAATGAATTGGAAGAAATCCATCGGTGGTAGCGTTTTTGTTGCAGTAACAAATCTAGTTACTTGATAGGTTTGTATTAAAGTTAAGCTACTTGTAAAATTGGCACCATTCACGACTGGTAATATATGAGTTTTTAACATATTTTGTGTAGTACTAAAGGTGTCTGTTATTGTTTCTAACGGTGGTGTTTCAATATCTGAAGATAATGTTATTGCTGGCAATGTAACTATACTAGAATCTAATAAATAATGATCTTTGCCATATGGCGAAGCTGTCGCTAATATATTTTCTGTCAACGGTTCGTTGAGAGAATTTTGCGCATTAAAAGATAAGGTTTGTTCGATTCGTTTTTCTATAGTTGTTGTTACTGTGATGATACGAGTATTTTTGACACGCCCAACCTAAAATTAATAAATATTAATTTAAATAAAATAAATAATAATCATTAAATATTTGAAGTTTTTTAAAATGTGATTTTTCAATAAATTATATGATTTATAAATACCTGGAACGTATATGGAGATTTAAGAGTTGCTATTTCATAGTAAACGTCCCGAAAATCAGTAGGAGTAGAAATTTCTACCTTTATAGTTTCTACAGGTGGAGGTTTTTCTATTGAATTATCCTCAGTCTCATTTTCAAAAAGTGTTCCTGGTCCATTTTGAGAACTCGATAATTCCAAATCATTGTCAGATCTAGCTTGTGGCAAAATATCGTTGTATTGGGGGTCATCAAGTAGAGGATTTGAATTTGGTGTTGTAGGTTGTTCATCTTCATCAACTGTTTTTCGTATGGTTACTTTGGGTTTGGGACTTGTTTTATATTGCCAGCGGCCAGATCCTTGTGAACGATTTAATTTAAATTTGTATATGCTTGTAGAAGTAGCTGGAGTAGCCTGTTCAACGGCTGTTGGTTGAATACGTGGTTTGAATCCCCGCCGTGAGCTTTCATTGTTGCTTGAAGGAGTGACTGTCGTTTTATGCCCAGAATTTCGATTGCTTTTTCGTCTATTTGAAAATGATGGCGCTGGAGTTTCACTGAAAACAGAGACGGTTGCCAGTTGAGGAGTATTGGCAAGTCGACCATACCGTGTACTGAAAATAGAAATAGTTGCTTAAAATATGAGATAATTTAAGAGTATTACTATACCACAAATATCACTCAGGTTTTATATATAGAAGAGAGTATTAATATGCTTTTTTTTAAATAAAATTATTTTTAAACTATTCCAAGCACTTGACTCCTATCCCACCTGATGGTTAGTGATAATGCAGCCGAAGTTGTTGCAAATGAGAGAAATATTGTAAATTCATACTTAAAAGGGTAAAAGTGGCCCAATTAATATTCTTTATTCTACTGTTTTGTCATTCGTACGTACCATGTATGAGCTTGTTTTATGCTTTTAAATGAAATAGAAGATTCTCTGGGAATTATTAAACCCGTGCAAATATAAATACTTGTTTTATGACGTTAAAATTTACATTCTACACATAAGCCATTAGACTACTTTCGTTTTTATACATTTTGAGCGAAATATAACCGTATTATTATTATATTGAAGTTTGACAGTATCTGCCGTTATTTTAAGGACTATTCAATGCATTATAATATTATAGATATAAAAGTTAAAAGTATTAAGAGCAACATGAGAACTTTTCCTAATGTGAGCCTCACTTGCACTGCACCTGCTGCACACCCTGGTGATTGTAGGACATGGCTTTAGCGATCAAATGTTGGTGGAAATTCTATCTAAAAATGATAAGGATTAGTAATACAACTGTGGGGGCAATGAATCTACATTCATGTATCTGCCTGCCCATACTATGTGTAAGCTAGCGTATCCTTAGAATGACATGTCCAATGGTGAAATAGAAGGTTGATAATACTGGGTACATTCTGTAAGGTAAGTCTGGAAGATGGTCACCATATTTAATTATGAAGTTTTGAATGAAAGTGTTGAGTGAATTGAGTGCTGAAAAAATTAAGTGTTAAAAATATTTAATAACTTCGAATTAATAACTCGATAGAAAGGATTTAAATAAGTCTAATAAAATAAAAATAATGTAATACCTCTGAGTGCGTTGAGAATGCGAGGAATTCCGGTTTTTATACTTCTTATTTGGGACAGGTGCTTCATGGTTATCGTTATTCTGTGATCTTTGGCGATTTTTAAAAGAGCTTCCATTATTCGATTGCCTCCGTGTCGTTTTGCTAAAACTATTGTCTTCACCGCTAAGAGTAGGAGTTGGTTCTAAATGATGTCTAAGATTTTTAACTATTGAGGGAGCTGCAGTTTTTAGGATTCTATGAGTAGGACTCGTAGATATTTTAGCTCTATGTCCCGACGGTTGTAATATTTTTGAATTACTATTGAGCACTTGAGCATATTTTCCTGATATGTATGTACCTATTACACTAGTTTCGTGTATAGTTGTTGCACCATCTTTAACTATTGTTCCTCCTAGTGTTGTAACAAGCCCAAGAGGATGTTCTTCATCCTCAGGTGGAGGAGTAGGAGAGTGCGCTCTATTTTTAAGATTTTTAGGCTTATGGCCATGTAATTTTGATGGACGTAAGTTTATAACTTTGTACGTCTCCTCGACAAATTCAGATGGTTGACGCGATAAGAAATCGTATTCTGGTTCTCCAATATTGTTATTAGTGACCAAAATTGCTGGTTCTTCATCCGAATGACTTGATTTCATTTCTACTGCACTATTTATTTTTAATGAGGGTGAAGGACTTTGTTTTACTTCAACTTTACTACTAATAATGTTTGTTACACTTTTAACGGTTTCATTTTTTTGTTTTTTGTTAGAATGAGAGGACTGTTTGTTTGATTTCGAAGGGGACTGTTTAGGTAAGCTGTTTTCTACAATTTTAGACGGACCGGTGACTACTTCCACTTTCGTAATAACTTGTTTTTGTTCCTTTATAGCTGATTTAGGGACATTGTTGTCTTTTTTTGGAGGAGACGACATAACAGAAATAGCACTTGACACAGCTATCGGTGTTGCTGCTTTATTAGTCTTGTCCTTATTAGATGTTTTACTTGGTTTAATAGTTTCAGGTTTCACATCAGTGACTGATGGTGGTGGCGGCTTAGTTTCAATAATATTTTCTTGTACTGCTTTCTCTGTCTTCGGTGGTTCTAAAATTTATATAAAATTGTTAATATTTTGTAATTAAAAAAATGTTTTTAATATTGAGATTAAATCTACCAAAAAAGGTATAAATGAATGCAACCTGGTGGGGGTGCCGATTGTGGTGAAAAAATCATGACTGTATTTCCTATTGTAGTTGTGAAGTCCAGGAAGCCGTACACTGTTTGTGTTATAAAGTTACTGCTTGAAAGTTGACTAGGCGCATTATTCTGTCCACCATTATAAAATGGTCCGTCAGCGAAAGCTATGTTACCTGTAAGTATACACATTTTCATTTAGGTAAATTGCGCAGGACTTATTGCAAAATAGTAAGCATTGCTATGGCTTAGGAGAATCCATCGCCAATTGTTAAAAAAGTGTCAGTTAGATCTAACAGTTCCTCCAACAGTTGGTGATATAAGCATCTGATATGTCAATCTAGATATAAAATATTGAAACCAGTGACGGAGAGGAGCGAAAAAGCTGCGATCTATTTTCTAAGGGGGAAAGGGGATTTGTCTTTTAGTAGTATTGATACTAATAGAAGGTTTTACTCGTCCTACTAAAGTGACCATCGTGTATTAAGAAGTGACGTTGGTTTGTAAGATAAGGAGAATAGTGGTAGTGATTCAAAATCAGGGCAAAGCCTTAGATGGAACATTCACCAGTTTTGTTTTGTGTTTTGTAAAGTACATAAAAGTGTTAAACATTATTCGCTTTGAAAATCAAATGGAAGCAGATTATATAAAGAGGTTTATTTTTAAAATGGATAAAGTATAAGGAATGTCATTTTTTCAGTACCATTGGTTGGTAAATGATCTGTAATACTACGTTCATATGACATAAAAAAGAGAGCGCTTTTAAACAATATATGGGCAAGATATTCGTATCACGAAATTAATGGCGTGTGATGTCTTTTATATTTCAAGTAATCAAGTTTTTTTAGCTTATCAAATAACTATAGAGTGATTTTATTTCATTAACACTTGTTTTCTGCAAATCAGCACGTTTTAAAATGATCAGATACTTGTTATAAAAAAATAAAATACTTTACTTAGGAAATACTCGTAATATATATTTGGTTATTAACGTTCGTTCGTGCCAAGATAGCACACGCTACCTGCATTTGAAAGTATGCAAGAAAATTGAAGCTGGATCCTTTGATTCCGCACCATTTACCGCCAAGTGGGCTGAGATAGTCCACCTTCGATAGAGATCGACGCGTTCACTTTGGCATATCTATCTAGGTGCTTCGATTGCTTTGCTCTAGATAACCCTATTGTCTTTAATTTTATCTAGGGTTTGTTTTGTTTACATATAAACATATATTTTATATAATATAGTGAAATAATCGGTTGAATATGTATATTGCAACGTTCTTTATTTTCTAAGTATCATATCATTCGAAGGCTATTAATTTTAGACGTAAAGAAAAGACTTTTGTATGTTTACTTAGGCATACAATTAGGTTCCTTCGCTTGATTATTTGGTTTAGAAAATATTAAATGAAAAATACTTACATGAATAGGCGGATAAGGCCAAAAAGGCCAAGAACCTGAACTCCATGGTAATCAAACTGTAGTTTTACTAAAGCTGTCAAAATATGAAGACCTCTTGATATAGCCTCATTTTAGGTAAATACCTCACGGGTAGAAATGGATCTGAAATAAAATGAAATAATGTGAAATAATATGTTGGTACATAAATTCTGCAATTCCTTTTAATATTTTTTATTATAAGCTATACATAACATTAAAAGAAATACAATTACATGGTAAGGCAGTGTGTCAGTGACACTCCGATATAAAAATAAAATGTTGACTTCGGCCCTTATTTTGATAATGAAGGGATAAAAATTATATTCTTAATTTTTAAAAATATTATATATTATTTTAAGCCTATCACAAATTTTAATGAATCGCAATTTATAACACACCTATGAACAAAATAATCACTTGATAAGCAAAACACTGGAATGAACGTGGCGGGATCACTGTTCAGTCCTCTCATTTCAGTGGTCAACCAAATCATTGCGCAAAACCAATATGGCTTTTAAAATAAACACGTCCGTTGGGATGCTCATTGCCTTCGTAATTACTGTGGTTGAAGGTATATCGTTTTTCCATGTTATAATTGTTTAATTTAGTTACAATTCCGGTGTAAAAACTGCTACTCGTGCAGATTATTGACTATTCAAATCATCACGTTTGTTTGGAACTACAGAAAAAATAATGAAAAATCGTAATAATATGTGTTATTATTATTATTTCTGTGTTTGGAATAGATGAACTGATTCATTAACATTATTACTTATTAAGATATTTTTAAAGTTATTGATTTATCGTTATATATTAAGAGGATTGTGAAGTGCCGATACGCGGCGAGTAGGTTTTTTCAAAAATGCCATCTGTTTCACATCGCTCGCTCCGTATAGCTTTGGTCTCTTGATCGTAACGCACGACGCTGCGGTATGCAGCTCAAATGCAGCGTCACGACGTAGCGTTTAGCATCTCTGCGGAGAAGTGTTCAGTTGATTTTTCCGCAGCTACTAAAAAGCAGACGTGTCAATATGAACAATAGTTTTGAAAATTGTACTTTTTTGAGGAGGAGGAAGAAAGAAGTTTGTTTTTATTTTTATATAAAGAGGGATAATTGCGGATTAATTATACAAAATTATCTTAAAACAATATAAGCCTTCCAAATTTAAAATGATATTTCAACGATTATTTCCTTTGCGGCTGCAATGCGCCATGTATCAGGTAGTATAAATAAAATTTATAGAACGCGGTAACTGTTTCGTGGTGCCGATACTACTAAAATTGTTGTTTTCTGCTCAAATGTCGCATTAAGCTCTTGGTAAAACATTGTAATCCAGACGCTACTAATCTATACTGGCTTATTTGAAATGATTACATCGCTATCTGCTGTATAAATTTCTTCTGCTGTTTCATATTGTAGACGTAGTAACGCGTTATTTCTAATAGCGTGACATTTCTATTACATCATGAAACGTTAAATCACTACACGACAATAACATCAAAAAGTGATAACTTTTTGGAAATAAATCACATTATATGCTTAAGATAACAAAATATTAATATAAAATTGAACCAGCTTAGTGTTCCCCAGCGTAAAAAAGAAATACATTTATAAAAATACAACGCAACCGAACCAAAATTCAATATCCAGATTCCGAATACGTAAACATTCTATGGCTCTATTGTTCCAAGTTTGTATTATTCGCAAGCCGCAATAAGCCGATATGAATACATATTAGGCTTTCGATAAAAACAAAAAGGTATTTGAAAAAAAAATCAATAAGCAAGTTATTCCGTCTGTAGACTCTATAATTCACGAACAACTGAAAGCTTGAGATTGGTAATTCACGATTGGCTCCATTTGCGGCGATGTGGCATTTAAAGGTACGTTCTGAGTACTAATCTTGGGTCGTGTAGGTTAACCGAAGAATTTTAGGTGTATTGTACTGAGGATGCTGCCCATTAAAAAGATTACCTAGTAAATTACATTGTGTTCTGTTGCTGAAACCGAACCACATTATCGATGATTGCGTCGACTTAATTGAACGCGTTAAGCTTATCTAGCACAATGCGCTTGCAATAGGAAATGTGTAACTCTAGTATAATAATACTTTCATTATTTCTTACAATAAATTCTACATCGTTAAATAAAATGCTCATAAATGGCAAATTGCTTAGATAGTTATCGATTTTGATATAACCTGGCTTGATATACGAATATTGGTCTCAGTCCATTAGTAGGTTTTTAAGTCATAAGAGGTTTTGCAATAATGATAATATTTTTATTATCTTACACAAAATAAGAGCAGTTTTAGCCCTGAGTACTAAGGTGGAATGCCTCGTTTCCAGTAAAAAAGGGTCTCCGGATCTCTCACAATTCAGGGGAGGGTATAAAAATCCTCTGTCCTTCACTTCTTAAACTGTTTGTTAGAAAAATTGAACAGAATACGGAAATTACTTTTTATTTTTACAGTTTAATTAAAAACAGTTAACTATACTATAAGTCTTAATTAAAGTTATTTATATGTTCTTAATTTTCATCCTGATTTGCCTGCACCATAAATATTGAAGTATACTAAGATATGTTCTTAAGCTCTTAGGGGTTTCAAAACGCTCCTTTTATAATCAAAATATTTATGTATAGTATAGGAGCTAATCAAGTTCGATCCCCGCCGGTACTAGTGAAATTTCGTTTCATTTTTAAGTGCTGATTGCTACGTGAAATAAAACATAAAGAGGAATCGGGAACTCTGCAGGTGAAAGAAATTAGGGAAATTATTTCGAGGATAGACCAAGCTCGCCAACACTGATAAGGGTATTGCGACGGACTCTACTTTGCGCTTAAAATCCGTCAGTAGTAGAAGGAAACCTTCGTCACACAGTGCTTTATATGCAACAAAAAAATCTTTGTTCAGCTGTGGCTGGTATAGAAGCTGGAATAGCTTTCTTGGATACATGTCAATTTGCACAATACGTTACTATTATCTTTTTTATAACCTGTTGTAAAAGTTGTATACTTTGCAGTTTTGTTTCAAGCTGCAAAGCAATTGAAAGCACGATATCTTCCGTATAAGTTTCCCCCTATACAAAGGCTGTTATTCTTGTCTCTTTAGTGACACATTAGAACAAGTGAGACCAATTATCAGTGTTCTTTGTATAGCAACAGTTAAAAAAATCCCTCTAAAACCTCTTCTAGTAAATTAAAACCTGAAAGTCATACATAATAATGTTTTCTGTTTAAGAGGATTGTGAAGCTGTAAATTTTCAGACAATAAGCGATAACGTTTTCCCTCCCGCAAACATGGTCTTATATTCATAATTTTTGGAAATTGTGGAGATATAATGAAAATCTATGTCCGTACATTTTTATTTTAAGAAAATATTGCGTACGATATAAGTTATTACCATCTAAATATATATTTATTATTATATATTGTTTTGACTTAAAACTTTCTTGAGCGTTTTTTTTAAATTAAACTAAACTGAATTACTAAAAAAATAAAAACGTATAGACCTTAATTAAGGTATACTGAATCTAATGAGACCAAAATTGTCCCATTTCGTTAAGGTTTAGGGGGTGAAAACTATGTATTGTAGTATTCTATGGTAAAAAAGTTATCGCTAGAAACAATATTTTAAAAAGGAAATGTAGGTAATTACCTCCAACTTTTGAAACTCTATATCGCACGACGGCGATAAGCTTTGGTCTCTTGATCGTAACGCACAACGCTGCGGTATGCAGTATGCGGTGCCGGACACATAATCGTATGACAAACGTGTAGAATGGTCTCTTGTTCCGCCGCAGTATGCGTCAGCGGCGTTGTGCGTTACGATCAAGAGACCAAAGCTTATTCGTGAGGACTAAGATGGAATGCCTCGTTTCCAGTAAAAGGGTCTCCGGTTCTCTAAACTCACCATTCAAAACACAACAACATTAAGGCGGTACCCTGACCAAAACCTGGCAAAAGTGCGTTTTTCAGAGACTATTATCTCATTAGTTATGAGAAATAAGCTACATCTAAAAGTACATTATTAATGTTCGATATCCTATTATCACATTCCACGTTCTAATTTGTTTCTATGTGTTATGAATACATTTAAAATCTACTTTTAAAAAATTACTAAAATTATTGATTACATGCATCTGTTGCTAAAGGAAATGCTCTAATCATTTGAGAATTACACTAACGGATAGATAATTTAAAAATCTATATTTTACACGTTTTATTTAATTTCTTAAGTTCGCTTATCTCTTTTAATTGAAATAATTCCAAATATTTGGGCGTATTTTTCCGTGATATATTGTAGCGAGAGCGCGTGGATTGTATGGGACCGAACGCTCAAGGTCTCTCGCTAGGGGAACCGTCTTAAGCTACTATTAGACGCTGGTATTCTACGAGAGCGTAATCCTTCCCCGGTCGAGCCGACCCATTCGTGCTACAATCTATTATTATAACTGCAGCATGGCTCTACACGCTTCTGCGTATTTCCTGGTTTGTTTCCTTTTGTTTCCTCTTATAACACGATATGGGGTAGTAGATATTCACACCTCCACTACACGGCAAAATGTTTTGTTATTAACAATGTGAATACAGATAATATTTAAAAAGAGAACATTAGATCTTTTGTATTGCAATGAATATTTAAACAGAGTTGCTCCTCTCACTTGTATCGTTGATTTGGTCTGCCTGTCTCTCATTGAATGAGTTAACAGTTAACACTACGAGAAGCGCCTAAGCGTACATGCATCCAAGCCAAATTCCCGGGCAAATTGGCATCCATTGTGCAGAGTCCAGTCAGTCTAACATTGCGAAGGGTATTGAAAGCGTTTGAATGCTTAGTAAGTTTCGACTGAAGGCGGCTGTCGAATAAGAATTGACGTCTATGTACGTATAGCAGTCTGACTATTCCTATATGTTTCCTTTGACTATGCTTGTTTCAAGCATAGTTAAAAGAAGATTTTTAATTTATAATAAATTACGATTTGCACAAGATTCTATAGTTCAAACGCTATAGTGATTGTTTTTAATTAAATGTATGAACGCCGCTCAATAGAGTATGTAATCGAACATTACATATTTTCTCATCCATCTCGTAAGAGTACCCATAGTTAAAAATTACAT